GATCGCCTTGGAGTGCGGGGCCTGCTCTGAGGAAGTCGTTTAAACGAAACTGCTCGCGAGTTCGACGCGAGGCGTCAAATACAACACGGATTTTCGATCGACCGGGATCTCCTTGAACGACGGCGTGGTGTGGTAAGTACCATGCGTGGGGGTTGTTGATTTCCGACTGTGGTACCGGTACCATGTGGCCAAGATGTATGTATGTTTCCATGAACTCTGAGTACGAGAGTGCCAAATTTGAGTCGCGCGAGAACCGTAAAGCTTGATGTTTGAGTGAGCCAAGCGCGATTCGTCTTGTTTCGAGTGCTACGCTAGGTATTCCTGCTTTCAGAGGTAGACGTACTACAAAGCGTCCATTTTTATCCCGAGAGTGCGTTTCGTCGAAAAGTTTTTCGGCAGCTTCGTCATCGGGATTTAATGTGCGCGCGGGGGAGGAAACCTCCTCGATCTTCCAAAATCGTTCGATGGCCTCGTCGAAATCGTTGTGAATGGCGCAACGCAACGCAGTCACCGAGGCATTGTGAGCGGCTACCGCCCGCCGTGGGGCAGTGCTATGGGCAGGGCCCGAGATAACCCATCCGAGGGCTGTATTCTGAGCGACTAATAAAGTTGATGGGAACGTTTTAAGACCCGAACGAAGCAATTGGCCGTACAGATCTGCGCCAATCATTATGTCAACGCGGTCCGATAGGTGGAAGTCTGGATCGGCCAGAGACAAGCCTTCGAAGGGGCCGAGGTCAAATTCAATGAGGCTGCGAGCAGGTAGATTTTCGGTCAGGCGTGGCAACACAAAGGCGCTCACCTCAAGTTCAAAATGCGCGTCCACGCGTGAGCGCAGCGCGAAAATCGTTCGTGAGTTGACGACACCCGCTTTGCAGCCACCGACTCCGGTCAAACCTGTACGCACACGATCACGCGGCAGTCCGAGTAATTGGACCAATGCGTCAGACACGAAAGTCGCCTCCGAGCCCTGATCTAGGAGAACCCGAGCGCTGGTTTGCTTACCGGTGGGGCCGATCACGATCACTTGCGCCGTCGCAAGGAGGATGAGGGAAGGGCTCGTTGACGAGCTCGCGTTGCACGAGTTGATTGAGAGCGTGGGGTCGACCGTTACTTGAGCGACGTTCGACCTAACCAATTGAGCGGGAGCGTCGCTGATGGGATTTGTTGCGTTATCATTTGGCTTTCCTTTTGTTCGCTTATCGAAGTGGAGAGACGAGTGATGTTTCTCGTTGCAAGTCTTGCAGCGGCCGTTTGATTTGCAAGAGTTGAACTTGTGGGGTCCTAAACAGTTGAAGCAACGGCCCAAGCGGCAACATATTGATTGTCGGTCGTAGACCTTCTTTGCCAAGTACGTAGGGCAGCGCGAGAGGTAGTGTGACTCAGTACAGAAAGGACATTGGACCGTTTTGACTGGCTGCTCAGGCTGCTCAGTGTGCACGTGATGAACTCGTCGCGAACTGTTGTTATTCCGTTGTGGCTGGGAAGTCGCCTTCTCGTTATTGGTTGACTGAATTGCTGACAACGAATGCGCGCGGCGCTCGAGAAAGGCCGATAATTCGACAAATTTCGGCATCCGATGTAGATGATCGTCCTCATGATCTGGCGTACTCGCGGCGGGTTGACGATCTTTCACGGACATTTCAGCTTTCCATTGTTTTCTCGACTCTGGGTCGAGACGAATTTCCACGATATGTACCAGCCATAGGTCCCAATGAGCTACCGGTGCTCTTAAAGTCGTGAGAGCTCGTACGATTCGTTGGGCATCGTCGGCGAATGCGCGTAAGTCAACGGCTGACTCTCTTTTCAAATGCGGTAAATTAAGAAAGGAATCAATCAGGTTATTTATTGTCAGGCGTGGATTGTGAAAGCGTTCTCTCAGGGCTGCCCATGTGGGCTCGTAGTTAACGCCCAGTATTGGGACGTCCTTCACCAAATCACCGGCGGGGCCGCGCAGGCAAGACTTGAGATATCGTAGTTTCGTGGTGTTTGAGATGCGTGGGGCGTCATGCATAATCGAACTGAATTGATCCGCGAAGCTGCCCCAGTCTTTGTATTTGCCTGAGAAAGTAGGCAATTCTAAGCGCGGAAGTTTTACCGAAGTTTCGTCATCATCGTCATTATCGTCGGCATCACGCGCGCGTCGCCGAGTATTTAGCTCTCGCAGGCCTTGAAACTTAGTTAAAGTGGTAAGCAGCCAGTCATGAGTTTCCTCATATAGTTGTTACATGGCGTCGTACGTATTTTCCGTCATGTATGAATTCGCGGTCGAGTCATTGCGCATAGTAATTTCATGGTGAGTCTTACGTATCTCGTGCCATAGGTCAGAGACAGTGTTGATCCGTGTTTGGATTATCGCAGCGTTGAGCGTTTCTGGTGCGCGTTCTTTTATACGATTGCCGATCGCAACGATTTCATTGACGCGATGTTTCTGAAAGTCGGCAAGTTTTGCCATACTAACACGCGACATTTTGCCTCTATTGTAACACGCGGATTTATTACAGCGATGCAGTGGACCTTACTCAGTTTACACTCCGTGAATTGAAACGAACAACGTACGGATAACGTCGCTAGATGACAATGTATATACGCTATTAAACTATTGCTGTCGCAGAGGATATTCATGCACTCATTCACTCCTCACCCGGGGCACCAAAAATTGTTCAATATTAACGAGTAATAAGCTTGAAGGAAAGAGGCGTGAGGAATTAATTGCGGTGATTGCGGGAGTGTATGGGTGCATAGATCCTGAGCTGCGTTAAGCTAATAGCTTCTTTATTAACATGGTTATTACATGAAGTTTACATAAAAGGTCGGATAGTAGGCTCGCGTAGCCTGTACAGAGTGTTGAGTGGCCAACTAACCGCGTGGTTTTGAGAGCTCTCTTACCTATTGTCTATCACGACGACGCCCTGTGGGTAGGTTAGCGAAACCGGGAAGAGGATGCCAGGCGGTGTACGGCGGTGCATGCAGTTCCGACGTCTCGGACACGGGAGCAGCCCTCACTGCGATGCAGCCGAATTTGCCGATTGGTAGGCAGCGGGATCTGACACCCCCTCAGAGAGTCGAAGGCCCTCTGCTGACGCGTCAAGTTGCTTGGTCGCTAGCCCCTTTCTCTCGCGTCGTCGTACACACATACGTAAGGACCCACTGACGGGTTTGGTCACAACGCGTACGCGCACTACGAACAAAAAGGGGGGGGGGGCACTTGTGATATGGCCGGAAACTTTGGTGCGTCTGTTACCAATCGTTGCGAGGCGCGAGAATGGTGAAGCTCGACTTTTTACGTCCGAACGCCGCGGATGCTCTCGAGAGACTACTGTTCAACGCCGGCGGCCCTCGACAATGCCTAGCAAGGAGCTGCAATAATGAGTGGGGGCATTTTCCTTTTTTCTCCTCGTTGGGTCCCCAAAGATCCGAGTAGCTGATATCAAGGGTAGCGTTGTCGTACAGTTCTTGAGAAGGCCGCTGGCTACCTGAGAGGTCGTTATGCGAGACCATGTTTGTTGCTGCGTATTGGCGGCTGTGTAGCATGTGTCCTGCGATGAAGTTTTCCCCGAACGAAGTGTTATGCTTGAGTAGTGGCAGATTATTATCTTGAATGGCTCGTAAGTTTTCGGTATGAGGTGAACACTTGGGTCGTTAAGAAGCGTCGGCAGCAAGCAAGAAAGGGAAAAAACACGCTCACCAACACGTGAAGAGCAGCGCGCGCGAACACAAAATTAGGCATCGATCTCAAAACAGGTAAACTGTAATAAAGCAGCCAGTTTTCCCATTCGCACGATTTCCAGTGTTTTCTATCCGATAATAAGCGAGACAATCGCGTTATTTGATTCGGTATTTGAATTTTAGACAATATGCTATCAATTTCTGCTATTTTATCTTTAAGTGAGTAAGGTAATCCCGATTTATCAAACCACATACGTGCCAATTGTCGACAAACTCCTAGGTAACAGCAGTGCATCTCATCAGGAACGAACACATCAATGATATCAAAATATGATAAGTACACTAACGGAGATGTTCCTGTTACACCTTGCACATTTTTTGAAATAGTTACTTTTTTCGAAATTTCTTTCATAATTTTCAGAGTATCTAAAGCGTTTCGTTTATCCGGTATATAATCGAGAAGTGGATATTTAATTACTTTCTTTTTTTTTATGTAAGACTGGTATACCCGGATGAAGACACCAGTTACATCCAAAATATCCATTAAATTAAACAACTGATTGCATTGGTGCGCGCGCTACAGCATCTGCACAGCAACATATTGGGTACATTCTTATTTTTCTTAAACGATCAGTAATTTTACAAGTTATTCCTTCCTTGTTTATAGCATTAATATCTTTTGCAAAAGTTTTAATAAAAACATTCATATTAGGCTTACTTTTACCATACCACAAAGCAGCTGTTATAGTATTACTAAATCTTACATCAAGAGGTAATTCATTTAATATTACCTGAATGGGCCATATCGAATGATTTGTACTTTTCCAAACGGGCGCCCCATCAGCGTTAAATATCAAGGTAACATAAGAATCTTTACAATCGCTACTTAATCGAGAAATGAATTCGCCATATTTTAAACCTTCACTTATGTCTTCTAAATTTGCTCGCGCGCGCTTTCGATCTTCCAATAGTGCCGCATAGTACTCATTATTTCGTTCTAGCAAGTGCTTTACTTTTTCTTTAATATCAAAAATTACGAAAGAGTTATTATTTCCAGTAGTAGTTATGTCTTTTTCACAATTTTTGCAAAAAACACTTCGTTCAATTTTTTCATAAGCCTTAACATATTTGTCACATGTTGGACAAACAGCATGAAACGTTGAGCTATCATTCGAACGCAGTAATTTATCAATTTCATAAATTGAGTTAGGCAAAACCGCTGAACTTAAAAAACTATTAATCAAAGTACACATATTTTCAAATGCAACCAAAGGTAAATAATACTTTGAAAGAAAATTCTCTATGCCGCATAACATTTCTGCTTGACTTACTACTATCTCGGCAGGTAAGACTTTCTCTAATTCTCCAGTGGACAATTTATAGCTAAGTTGTGAGAACTTTTCTTCTTTGGCTTCTTTCCAAAATTGTATCTCTGTTTCTGGGTCATCAAAATTGTAAGTTGTATAGCCACGTAATTCTGCAATGTCCAAATCATCAACCTATGAAAAATGTTAAAAAATAATGAGTAGTTCAGATTGAAAAAACTTGCTTATAAGTTTTCCGAATAACTTTCGCATAGCTTAATTAAAGCCAGCCAATTTTTCAGGTTGAAAAAAAACAATTTTTTTTGTTTACTATTTTTTAGGAAATTGGCCGTAGAATCAGATGCCGTTATCCGTTTTTAAAAATTCCATGGCATTCTAAAGATATACGCTGTGTAACAAAATAATTCATTTTTCTTCTATGATAAAAAAATTATAAAATGCCATTTTTTGTTAATAAACATATTATTAAAAATAATCTGGCAATTCTAGTTATATAAATAATTATAAACATACAAATCTACAAAATTCTTTTAAACCAATTTTAGAGCCAACCCGTTGTGAAAAAAATAATAATCAAACAATCATCTCAGGTTACAACACGTGTGTTTCGTTGGTAAATATCCAACCTCATCAGATCTTTATTAAAAAAACAAAACGAGGAAATGGTTACAATAACAGATATAAACCAAAAACAAACAAAAATCACGCTAACAAAACATTTACCTCAATTCGCAAGTCACAATCAAATTAAATATCACAATAAAGTCAAAAATACACTGTCAAACATAATATTCGCTCAACTACACAAAATTCAAATCGGACAACGACTATGAAATAATGCAAATCAAAACAGTGTCTGTTGCCTTTTATACCAAAACAAACCACCGGTAGACACAATCAGATGTATCCCCTCTCCTATGCATGAAAACGGTACATTAAGCATCATTGTACATCAAAACAAAATAATAAAAAATATATTGTAAATAAATATGAGATCAGTCAGCTAAGATATCAAATAAACCTTTATATTGTTTACTCAGTAAACTAGTGTCTTCTTGTCTATTTATAGTGTTATAAGACAAATTAATATAAATCATTTCCGAAATTAATCTCTTACAATAGTTAGACTCTCTATCTAAAATTATTGTGTTGTCCCAGTCAAACGAATGTGTAGGATAATTTTTCAAATGCATCGGAACCGGAAGAGATTTATCTAAAGGTGTCTTCCTATGCTCCTCTATGCGTTTTTTTAAACATCTCTTAGTTTGACCAATATATACAGACGGGCAACTATCACAACAAAATTTGTATACTACATTTGTCTCATTCCATTTTTCTGTAACATCTTTACCCAGTTTTATTATGTTGTCCAGCTTATGATTAATTAAAGGTATACAATGAATATTAAACTTTCTTAAACTATGGTTACATAAGTTAAAAAATTTTTTATGAAAAGGCAACGTTAAAACCATCGATTTGATATTCGCATTTTTTCTATCATCCTGAGTAGCACTACTATTCCAAAATCTATGTTTACGAATGCGATCCAATATACATGTTTTAACAAATTTATCCGGGTAATCATTATTTTTTAAAATGCTCTTAACAATTTTTATATTGTCTTCATGAAAAGTTGCATCAGATAGTAATAAAGATCTTATTTTTTTCACAACGGGTTGGCTCTAAAATTGGTTTAAAAGAATTTTGCTTAACAAAATGGAGAGTGTCAAGAATAACAAATACAAATCTACATTTGAAATTAATAATATGATTTTTTTTATCCCAATTACGATTTAAAAATTTAAATATTTTAAATTTGCATTTTAACGATGTTATACTCGTATACAATTAATTTATATATCTATCATACTATATCAAATTTAAAAGTAATTTTTATTAACCAAAAGTCTTTATTTGAAATTTAAGGCATCTAGAAAAAATTATAATCTTAAAATTTCAAGAGTTAAAATTAAACCAGAACGAAATCACGCGTTACTCGGGCAAGGTACCAATCGTGCACATAAATATTGCACACGTAATTTTTGTGCACGGTAAAATTAGTAGTTTATGTCGTACGCAATAGTATATCAGTTGTGCACCATATTTTTTAGTAAATAGAGCATTTATATTATGTATATTATTTATATTATTTATATTAGTGCATTTCATGCACGTAGTCGCTAACGCAAATCATATTTAACCATGCACAGAGGATTATGCACTTGTCGGTAAAAAAATGATTGTGCACGCAGCCTGCGCAACTACGTGCATGAAATCTCCGCTTAATTTACTCGCTAAAAAATGTGGTGCACAACTAAAATACTATTGTGTACGACATAAATCACTATTTTTTCGGTACACGATAATTACGTGTATAATATTTATGTGCACGATCCGTACCTTGCCGTTACTCGACCGCCAGAGCGTCCATGATACTATCACTGACTTAACTTGAAGATGAATGTGAGATATTGAATAGTTTGGTGCAGATATATTGAATACAGTGTTGAATAAGTCTATTGGTGTTTTATGTAATTTAAAAAAATGTCTATTATTGAAATGACTTGAGTAAAAAAATGTTTGGATCTTAGAAAAAAATATAATTTTCTCAAAATCATTCGCTATAATTGCACAACCAGTTATGCCAAGCAAGTATTTTAAATATTAGTGAGAATTACTGATTTTCAAACATATCCACTGCTTTTCCAAATTTCCAAATAATAAATTTTCATAGACATGCATTGTAATCATATATATTTACAGTAGAAGAGCCTAGACGAACGTCCATAGATAGTGGTCTCTCATCATCGGATATACTAGATTGTTCGTCTTCTAACACAGCAGTCATCGTAGACTGAACTTTCAAATATTGTTCTGTCACATTTGTACTGAAGTCCAGACTGTTTGTCGGTTGAGTCTCGCTATCATATGCTTCACTTGCTTGACCTTCATGAACTGTCAATTTTTTGTTGCAATAATCGTAGAATACCTATCAAAACATTGATAACAATAACATAAATTAGTCTTTTGAATGGTATGTAAACTTCAGTTTCCAAATGAAAACAAATTGCACAGTTTATGTACAATATTGATGCAATTTAATACGTTGATACAATGATTTCAAATTTAAAAACTATAATTCTATAATTTTACTATGTTTCCTAAGAAATTATATTGTCGTACTAACCTCCATATCATCTGTGCTAGAGCTACTGCTAGCTGACTGACGTCTTTTTTTTGCTGCATGATAATATTTTGTTGATGTCGGAGGACTTTCCATTGTATCTAAGTATTTTTTGTATTTCTTGGGTCTTGGCCTAGCCATCTTCAGTGAATAAAAAGTGTGTCACTTAAGAGCTTGGTTGCATACCTAAACAAGTCAAATAGTAGTCAAAATCATGTAAAAAATATTGATTGTAAATCTCAACTCAAATGTTCTATAATCAGGAAGTTATCTATTTTAGTATATAAAAAAATGTCCATACTAAACAAAATAAATACAGTCCTAAAGAGAAAGTTAATATAAAATATAATTTCAGGATAGAATCAAGGTGAAAGAACTCAAATTCAGTAATTTTGGTCAAATTCAGTAATTTACAGCTGTGTTTAGTTGCACTTCGAACATGTAAAATACAAACCTAGAACAATTTTTATGAAAGTAGACAACTTACCATTTAATTTTTATATGTACTATTATAGCAAAAATCAAAACAGACGGTTCTTTGTTTGGATGCTCAGCGAGAGTACCTAATCAAATAAAATACCAGTAAAAATTGCTCTTACAAAATTTGATTATTATATTAAGTACTAATAATTTTATATCCATCAATAATTTGTGTTCTTGTTGCGTAAATAGCAACCGATTCAAAATTTCCATTGATTTATCGTATAACCTATATTCATTTTCAATTTAATTTAATTTTTTCTTTTATTCTTTCGATTCGAATCACTAATTATTCTCTGGATTATAAGCCTATAACCACTTTTATCAAAGCAAACAACTTACCATTTAAGGATGAACTAGAAAGGTTGAAAACGATAGCGAAAATGAAGATTTGATCCCGCCGTAGAACAAAGGCAGTATTTTCTTCTCTCTCTGTTTTTGTCTCTCTCTCCCTTATCCTCCACCCCTCCCCTCGCCGTCTCTCGCTCCCTCTCTCTCTCTCTCTCTCGCTTTCACTATGCGCAGACTCGAGTGCACCTCACACATGCACTACTGCCGATCTCCCGAGAGTGCACGTTTGACAAAAGACATCGAGAGAACAAAGAAAAAGCTGAAATTCCCAGTAGTCCAGTAAAAATAGGCCTGAAATGTTTTTGTCACATAAGTGGATGCATTTTTGATATATGGTAAATTGAGGTCGAAAAAGACGATTCTGAAATTTGCAGAGTTCTAGGTCCAGGGGTTCTAAGAGAAAATCACGTTTGAAATTTTTTTTCGCCTGTATCTCGCGAACGGCTGAACGTACGACAAAATAACATGCACCAATCGAAAGAGCGTGAAATTTTACATCAGAAACAATGTTTAATCCGACATCGATGAGTGTAAAATGTTGAGATAAAAAATAAATAAGAAACTTTACGTGAATAAGGAGAAGGGGAAGGCTGGGGAAGGCGCGGTATAGTTTCGCTCTCCTCCGCCGCCCCTCCAAGCGTGCGCAGACAGTCGACGACACTCGGCAATCTTCGGCCTATAGCAGCCGTAGAGGGGAAACGTGCATGTACGCGCGCTTGAATTCATTTTCGATATTTGGTGGCCGGCGATGGAGCGGTGGTCGGAAACAAGTCTTATTATGATCTTTTAGGATTCTCTCTTTGCAACTAATCTAAAAAATACTCTCATCACTAGTACTTAAACGAATTAATTTAACGTAAGCCCCACCTCTTCTTAATAAACATATGTAACATCCATAACACTTAAACAACATGTGACGATAGCCGAGGTAGCTAAAGCACACCATCACTTTTTATTTTCGTGGTAGCGGGTTCGAATCCCATTGAACATACTTTTTTTAAGCATTTTTTTCTGTACATCTCTTTGATGGTATACTTATATTTTATATGTTTTAATTTTTGAAAAAAAATTACTTAAAAAGTTGTATTTCTATATTTAGCTGACTTGTACCTGAAAATTACTACAAAATTACATTTGCAATGTTTACACTTAATTATCG